GCTCCATTCAATTACGAAGTGGCTCTTCCACTGTTAAAGTGGAGTGTCTCTGGGCTGCAATTTCTAGCCACAGACCCTGCATTTGCTGTGCCTCAAACATGACCTTGAGGCCACATCCCATTATACACACAGCCCACAACAACGTTAACCAGTCTTCTGTCTGGGTAAGGCAGGCGCAGTGCAAACTGCAAACTCCGTGCCTTTCTGCCGGAATCTCTCTCTCCATTACCCCTTTACCGGGAAATTTCATGGTAATCCAGGATACGGGAGAAGCGGATGATGGGCTCGCTTTCGACTGTGTTATGTTATTTAGGAGAAAGGAAAAATAAAATAAAAACTAGATTACAGCGCCTGGTGAGGATCACAGTTAAAAGTGGCAGGTCAGGCTGTGTTTCCCTTTGCTGCCGCCTACGGCCTGTGGGAAAAGCAGGGCATACAGAACTGATACGTTGTACATTTCTAAAGAAATTTTCGTGCTACGGAGAGGCTTTTTGTCTCTGATACACCGGACAGGTGGCGTGATATAAGACACAAAGGAAGATGCTCCCCAAATGACTGCAGGATGAGTTCAGGAAAGTAGCAATTAACTTTAAAGTTAACCTTGTTGAAAGTCATTTTTGGAACGTGAGGTTTACTGGATCAAGCACCACTGTGAGTGTGTGTATGTGAGAAGAATTAGATAAACAAAGGTTAACATTCCTAATACCCAACTTTTGGATCGTGGCTGTAAAACAGGACTGTGCTGTGGAGACTGGGGACCCGTGTCGAGTTATATCAGCGATGGTTAATGCTTCTTATCTCCTGGTCCTTCGTTAGGAAATTCTGCACCACAGTAATGTGATTCAAATTGAGGACTGCGGACTCTATGAACCCAGCCCATTTGGAAGGCAGGGCTGTAGAAATAGGGCTCAGGATGCCCTATCAGGCTTCCTGATGAGACGCCAGTCACGATATCTACAGTACATGCACAGCCCCAAGCAGCCAAAAAGATAATTCCAGAATTGTTTGAAATGGCATACTTCTTTTCCTAATGTGTATTTATTTTAATTCTGGGAAGACTTAGAATTAAACAGAAAATTTTAATAGGATCAAAGCCATAGCATTAATATTTTTGATTTAAAAGATTGATGCATATTTGATATTTCAAGTAATTATTTAAAATAATTTGACTTAGGTAACATGAGCCTGTATTTCCAAATTAAAATGAATAATGAAGTAATAATTGATTTAGACTTTTAATTTTGGGGAGGATTGAAATCTTACCAGGTTTGTAAGCCATATTAGAGCATGTAAGAGAATTTATTAGGTTTCAAAGAGTTGTTTAAGGGAAGATTTTGTAAGTTAAAGTAGGCGATTCAAATAGTCAAAAGAATTGAATAATTATTATTCCTTGCTTGAAAAATGGATGAAAGAAAGAATACAGACTTTTGGAAGGAGATCCTGCACATTCGAAGAGCCAGGACATGAGAGTTGAGATAAGCTTTCGGTGAAATGATGACTACAATGTAGTGTTCGGCCCACAGCACTCAGTAAGGGCCTGTCGAAGTAGTAATTTTTAGAAATACAGTCATGTGTCGCTGAATGATGGAGATACATTCTGAGAAACGCATCGTTAGGCGATTTTGTCATTATGTGAACATCACAGAATGTTACACAAACCTGGATGGAATAGTCCACTGCAAACCTAGGGTATATGATATGACTTACTGCCCTTAGCCTACAAACCTGTATAACATGTTACTGTGCTGAAAACTGTGGGCAATTGTAAATATTATGGTAAGTATTTGTGTATCCAGAAATAGAAAAGGTACAGTAAAAACACCTCATTAGAATCTTACGGGACGACTGTCATATATGTGGTTCATTGTTGACTGAAATGTCGTTATGCTGTACTTAAATCAAAGTACGAGTTGACAGCGTTTAACTCCAAGGGATGCCCTGTGTAGGGACTGCAGGGTATACAGTCGGATATGGCTGTCCTGGATGTTGATCTAATCCATTCAACCAAATGCCATAAGAAATTGAAAGTCAGTTCCATTGGTTATGTGTCACACTTACCAAGCTATTCTGTCACAGAAAGCAAGCAAGTTTGAGGGCAGGAGACGTTTTTGCCATCTGGACAAGGTTCAGAGGAAATTGTATGTAATACAGAGCCCTAGACCTATTTCATCTGAGCCACTCAGACGGCCCTGAACAGGGTGCACCGTGAGGCCCTGAGCTGGAGGATGCTTAGCTTGTCTGCAGACATTGTCATTTTGGTCTGGCTTCTGGTAATTAGGTACTCCTAGCTGGGCTCTGCTGCCAGCGAGCCTTTGAGACAAATTGCAAAATCTGTACAACCATCTGAGAGATGGAGAAGTAGACCCGATGACACTACAGGGGATATTGGTAGTTCTCAAAAGTTTGAAAGAGAATGCTTAGGGAAGCAATCCTCAAAACTGAACTTAGAGGTCCTTTTCCTGTTGTAAGAGAGTTCGGTCACAGAATCGACATCTGAGAAGATCCTGACAGGCTGGAGTGATAGGCTGAATCTAACAGGATGAAATGGAGCAGAGATAAATGTAAGGTTCTGTATTTGGGTCTGAAAATCCCAACTATGCCCAAAAGACTGGGGACAGGAGTAGGGATTTATCTGTGGATATGTCTGTAGCCTTGGTCTTGTTGACTTCAGAGGAAACAGGGAGGATCTGGAGATGAAAGTTACAGGAAGCCTCAAATAAGGAGGGTCTTTACTTTTTTTGGAGACAGCGTCTCACTCTGTTCCCCAGGCTGAAATGCAATGGCATCATCATAACTTACAGCAACCTCAAACTCCTAGGCTCAAACGATCCTCCTTCTTCAGCCTCCCGAGTAGCTGGGACTACAGGCACGTACCACTGTGCCCGGCTAATTTTTTTTACTTTTTGTAGAGACAGGGTCTCACTATGTTGCTCAGGCTGGTCTAGAACCCCTGACCTCAAGAGATCCACCTGCTTCAGCCTCCCAAAGTGCTAGGATTACAGGTGTGAGCTACAATGCCTATCCAAGGAGGGTCTTTATTCTTCAGTATTTTTTAAGGTAAAATGGGCTACTTTCTCAATTCTAGAAATGCTGGCTTAGGCTTATGAGGAGTTAGACTTTCAGGGATAGGAATGGATGACCCAGAGGTACTTTCTAGCCCCAAGATTTTGTGATTCCTTTGCTTTCTGTTGGTGACCACGTCCTGCACTGTTCCTCCACTGGCAGGTGATAGAGCTATGACTGTAGGGAACATTCTAGGCAGCAATGGGAGCGTCTTTAAAGTCCTCAGATAAGATTTCCATAAGGTCATTTTGGCATTGGTCCTCACCAGTGTCGCCAGTTCTTTACTCTGCTGGGGGAGGTCTGGGAGATGTGGTCACTGACCTTCACCAGAGGCTGTGTTATTTCCTCATTCATTCATCCTCTGTGCCTCATTCATTCTCGGCAGGGTGCTGAGTGCTTGGGAGACATTGGCGAACAACACAGAGTTCTTGACTTCTTCAAGTATACAGGATGTCTGGGAAGAAGTAAGACCATGAACACAGATTGTACAACTAACTGTGGTTGTGACTATAATTACGGTTCAGCCAGGTACTAGGAAGGGGCAGTACAGGTTGTGCTGTGGCGGGAGTGTGGAGCAAGGCAACCACACCTAGCTGAGCGGTGAGAGAAGAGCGCCCTGAGGGTGTGACGTTAAAGTAGGACCTTGAAGGAGAAGTGGGATCTGGCCCGAAGGTCTCCGGCTGGTGAAGCACACGAGTGAATGAATGCTGCAGCAACAAACTTGAGACTTGTTCTTGACCGAAAGGAGTTCTCCTTAGGATGGAGCCGATGGGAAGCCAGCCAAAAGTAGTAGTATGAAATGGAGGGTTTCCATTTACCGTTAGAGTACGTAAAAATATTTTCAATTCTTGGTGTTAGAGCAAGTTGAAGTCATCAATATCACCCGCTCAGAAGGATCCATGTCTTGTATGAGTGGGTTTTTATTTTATGTGGCATCTTAGGTACCACTTAGTTTCTGAGGATATATTTTCTTTCTCTCTCTCTCTCTTTTTTTTTTTTTTAATTGAGACTGGGTCTCTGTTGCCTGGGCTAGAGTGCAGTGGTGTCATCACAGTTCACTGCAACTTCAGACTCCTGGGCTCAAGTGATCCTCCTGCTTCAGCCTCCCAAGTAGCTGGGACTAGAGCACACACCACCACGCCAGGCTAATTTTTCTGGTTTTTGTAGAGACAGGGTCTCACCCTTCCTCTGAACTCCTGGCCTCAAGCAATCCTCCTTCCTCGGCTTCCCAAAGTGCCAGGATTACAAAAGTGCGCCACCACGCCTGGCAAATATTTTCTTATTATATTATAATTCTTCGAAGTCAGGTTGTCTGAGACTTACTTCTTAGTAAGTCCCTATGGGTAGGGATGGAAGGTTGGATGAGACAGTTTTTTCACTGGTGTGATTTGTGCAGTTAGTCACTGGTGCGTAGTAGCTTGGGAGGGGAGGGGTGTCTGCTTCTTATCACTGTAAGGCTTCCTTGGCCATAGCAGTTCATTCTCTTGTGGCTATAATGATTCTAACTATAGTTAACCATGTATGAGTAGAAACTGAATGAGAAGGAAAATGAATATGAAAAATAAAAGACTAGAACAGAACTGGGTTTGTTTTTTCCCAGACTAATCCTTCTTTGTATTATATTAATATTTGTTGCTCATATGAATGACTACCCATTTAGGTACAAGCATGCAAATGACAAGACATTTTAAAAAGATACATTTCAATCCTCAATTGCTGGTCTAAGTTCCAAATTAAATGCCCTTCATCTTAATTTTTCCTAGTAAACACTTTTGCAAACAATTGTGCTGTTTTATTTTTCTAGCATTAATAAACTCATAGCTGCAATTTAAAATTTTTTGATTCTGAATTCTGTTTCCAGCTTTCAGAGACTCCCCCCACCCTTTTTTTTTTTTCTTTACGTTACCCATCTTATTGTAAATTCTTCTTTCTTTCAGGTAGGAATGAATTGATAGCCAGATACATCAAACTCAGGACAGGGAAGACGCGGACCAGAAAACAGGTAAAATATACCACCTGGAAATTGTGCATGTCACCGAATGGCCCAAGGAGGCATTTTGGCTGCAGTGGCTGGCTGTGCTTTGGCTCCTAGGAGCCCCCAATTTGAGTTCCCTGTAAGGACGTCAGTGTTGTAGGTGTTTTAAATTGGCTCAGTTTTCACTGTTCATCATTTCAGTGACCCTTTATTATGTGGTCTTCCAAGTTCGTTTTATACTCACATGGGAAAGTTTCACTGCTAAGGACAGTGCATGAGCTGCTCCTGTGCGTTATTTCACAACTGACATTTCTTTCCCAAAACGTGCAACTGCAAACATTGCAAAAATTGCAGGTGCGAATACACTTGTAAGTTATGAAAATTTTGAGATTTCGTGCATTGTAAAATCCTGGAACGATTACATATTAGTCATCGTTTCAATGAAAAAGTGATGCTAGCAGCCTCGGGTATTGGCCTGAATATGATGTTAAATGATGTGCGTCCAGGGAACTGTTGCTTCTTAAGCGATGGCTTTTTGTCGGTAGCTGCTATGACTGAAATGAAGTTACAACTTCAGTACCTCTGTGCAGAGCCTTATCAGAAATTCTCTGCCCTTTGTCAGGGCTCTGCCTTCCCTCATTCTTTCAGATATAAAGCAGCCCAAATCTCTGACATGACCCAGTTCAGCACTGGAATGGATGAGAAATTAGTTAGTGTTTAACTAAAAAAAAAAACAAAAAACCTCATGGGTGAGTTGTTAACAGAAAAAAATTATTTTTTAATGTTGATTTGTGCTGAATGATATGGCATGGACCTTAAAAACTGCAGTCAAACCAAAAGGCAAGCCAAACTGTGGTCTCATTAAGACTGAGCAGCAGATTTCAGTTCTCTTCCCGGTGAGGAATTGTTTTCATGAGTGTTTATAATGGGGAGAGGCTTTTCCCTAGGAATGCTACATGTGCGCAGCCTGGGAGCCTCGCTGCTGAGTCAGCACAGAGGGAAGCGGCCTCCTGCCAGTGCACAGAGGCAGGGCATTGTCTATTTGGGGGATGCTCCCCCCCCGACAGTGGCCCTCATCAAGTCAGAGAATCACATAAGAACAAAATTCTGGTGAAAATAAGCAACAGCAGGAGCCAGATGGAGGGGTGAAGAGGATGGGGGAGTTTCTGCTTCTCCATACTTAAAAAAAAAATAAAGTACAAAAGCAAATCGGAAAAAGAATAATTGGAACTGAGAGACAAAGTTAAAGATAAAAGGATCTTTTATTATCATAAATCCTGTTTTAGAGTCACTAGAGAATTTGAAATGAGGTAATCGCCACGCAGTCTGAGTCGCGGAACTTCTAAATGAAAGGTTCTAAATTTCTGAAACGGACGGATCTAATCCCTCACGTACTGAGTGCTGGACCTGGGCTGTCTGCTGGCCTGTGAGCTCTGGTCACTTGCCCGGTGACCCCTTCACTAGGGGACTCTTCTAAATTTAACCAAGTCCCACTGAAAGAGATGCAAATTTGTTTACCCAGTGGAATCATTGTGTTTCAGAAGCCGGGCTTGGCTACGGATCCACACCCGGCATCCTAGGGATGTTTTTAGGCAGCAGTTGGTGATACCTCTCCAATGTGAATTTGTTGTTCAGCAAATCCGTGTGGTTTTCAACCCAGATTTTTAACAGGATGGCTGACTGGCTGTATTCACACATTTCGCTTTGTAATAATATGCAAATCCACTTGGCGCCCAGTCAATACCCAAAAGAGTGGAAGGATTAAAGATATTTATAAGGGCAAAAAAAAAAAATAAAAGCTCTGCTAACTGGGTCTTTCCATTTCTCTTTGAGATCTAATTTACATGTCAGTATTATTTTAACATTTGCTACAGAATCCAGAGCTCTTAATGAGATCAGAATACAACCGACAGCTTCGGCTTTTTGATTCTGCAGAATGTGCTAATTTATGGATAGTCTCTTCTAAATTGAGAAGGATTTTCCCTCCTGATACTGAGAAGCTATAAATATTTTCATTTACCTCTACCCCCACCTTTTTAATTTTAGAAAGAAAACAACCCTACTCTCCCCCTCTCATCCCTCCCCAAATTAGTTTTTCCCAGTGCCTGTTTCTCCCGAGTGGGGAAACTAAGATGAGCCTAAACTTTCAGCCTGAATCAGGTCACTGCAGTGATGACCCAGTATGAAAAGCTTAGAGCAGCGCTGGGGGCTTGTGTCTGGCTGGGACTGTCTATTCCTAACTGCAGAGCTTTGTTGAGATGCAAATAACCACCCCCCACCCCACCCCACCCCACCCCAAACCCTCCCAAGGAGTAGCGATTTTATATTTGATTTCCTTTTTTTGTTTTGTTTTGTTTTGTTCTGTTTCCCCTCATAAACCCGAACAATGTAGGTGTCTAGTCATATACAGGTCTTAGCAAGAAAGAAAGTTCGAGAAATTCAAGCCGCCATTAAGGTACGTCTGGCTTGCCCAGTTGTAGGGGGCTTTTCATCTCCATGGTTACAGGCTTTTCCTTTGTTTTCCTCCCTTCCCCTACCCTGCAGGTGTCTAGTCACATTCAGGTTCTTGCCAGAAGGAAATCTCGTGATTTTCATTCCAAGCTAAAGGTATGCGCTTTTCTGCTTTTTGGCTTGTGGTTGCTATGCATCTCACTTCCTGTTTTCCATGGTGACTGGTGAATGCCTGGTGCTGGGATTCTCGTAACCTAGTTTCCTTGCATGTGAGAGCTGTTTACATTTCTTTGTGTCTAATCTCTCTGTTTCTCTACTAGCCTCACATTAAACTCGATGTGTGCGTGTGTGTATGCGTGTATGTGTGTGTGTATGCGCGTGCGTGCGTGTGTGTGTGTGTGTGTGTGTGTGTGTGTGTGTGTTCCTAATAACAATGCAAATGCAGCAGAGAGCTGGTCTTTGATAACTTTTCAGCACAGAAACATGATTTTGTTTTTAACCTTCAAATGTCCACCAAACAGCCCTGGGCTAGGAGAACTTAAGAAAAAAGTCCAGAGACACAAAATTGGTGTAGAAATTACTTTAAAAAAAACATTATTTCCAGAATGGTCATGAAATTACTTTTTAAAAATATTGAGAAATTATTAAAATACGTCTTTTTCACGTATTTCTCTTCCGCCACAGAGAATATTTTCGGCTAGATTTCTTCCACGTTGTTTAATACTGTTTTTTAAGTGAATGGCTCTCTTTTTAAAAGAGAAATTTGAGGAGTGGCCTTAAAAATAAAAAGATGTATCTTAGAGGTGGCAAAACTCTTGATCATACCCATGTTTGTAATTACATTTATACTTGAGTTTACTTAAAAAATTTTTTTACATGTGCCTCGTTTTTCAGTCTCTTAAAATATATGTCATAGCAAAAATGGAGGCATTGATAATTTCTTAAATACAAATTCTCCCTGCTTTCTCCCTTTCTAAAGTTTGCCATAAAACATACATGACTTTTATTTTTCTCCTATTTTAAAAATGCAAAGGGATTATAGTTTGCATGGAGGAGGCTTAGTTTATAATAAAAATTAATTTTTAGCCCAAATTGTTGCCTTTCCCATCTACTTTTTTTTGTTCTGTCCTGATATTTTTCTATCCATTAATTAAATTTGTGTTTTCGTTCTAAAAAGGACAGTGTAATTTCACAACACTGAGTGGTGAACACTGGGATCCTTCCCAGAGTCCTTCAACTTTTTTGTGTGCAAACAAGGCTGGCTGTGGGATAGGACTAGTGACTAGCAAGGAGCATTTGGTGTGCCCTCTGTGGTGGGCAGCATGCTGGCTCGCTCGCACGTGTGGCTGATGGTGGCTGGCTTTTAGCTGCACTGGCTGAGCAGTTGGAAGACTAAGATAACCTCATAGATCTTGCTTTTTAACCGAAAGTGCAATACTCTCTATATGGATGTACCTACCCCAGTGTTTGCTCAAGTTCTGACTCTGTTTCTAGTTTCTCTGAGCTAACGAATTAATGATGTACAAAGAAGTTTACAGATATCAATTTTGTGTTTCCGTCGGCAATGTTATGAATTGCTCTGTTTCTGCACTGTCTGTGTGGTGCCTGTCGACTCACCAGGGCACGGAGCCCTGGAACGGAAGCCCTGAGTGATGAATAAAGCTCTCCTGTTCAGAAGGGTTCCCTGTGGGATATAGGAAGCACTCTTTTTCTAACTTGGTGATTTTAAGAATGTTCTTCCATAGAAAACAATTTTGCCATTGCTTTACACATATACTTGCGTACAAATACACAGCTATATTTGTGTTCTTAAAAAACTAAAATAAAAAAAAAGAAGAAGACGACTTTCCTCTCCACTTTCAGCCCTGGGACGCTCTCCTTTGGGGCAGGCACTAGGAGGAGACGGAAACAGGCAATAGGATAACAACCGGCTCAGTATTTAAGCTCCAAGAACCACCTTCATCTTCTAGTTCCTCCCTTCTTCCCTACCACATTATTCTTGGAAAAATGGAATCCTGTGTTTTTCCATAAGCCAATACTAATTGAGTGTGCCAGGCATGGCGTTCCTCGTGGTGCGCAGTTAACAGCCAGGAGGTGGCAATTTAAATGGGAGCTGAAATAGAGGACACTTGGAAAGTGTTAGCAGGAAGAGCCAAAGGGAAATAGAGAGGGAATTTCAGGATGAGCCTCATGGAGAACGTACTTGAGTTTGGGAAGGAGGACAGTAGTTACTGTAATGCAGAGCGTCTCGCATGTTCTCTCATTAGGCTCACTACAAAGTGAGTTACATTATTCTGATGCTGAGGAATAATATTGAGGAAACTGGGGCTGAAAGAGTATACTTGACTTAGCGAATGTCATCGAGCCTACCTAGAATGTGGTGAAGCCAAGATTTGAACTCAGATGTTTCCAAATCCTAAACTCATGGCTCTTTCAGATAGGGTTTCATCAAGTGGAGGTGGGAGAAGGTTTTCGAGCAGAAGGCTTTATGTCAGCGCACTGCACATAATTTGTCACCCCTCACATATCTAGGAGCTGGCCATTCAGCTCTTGCTACCAGCCCTTCACTTAGCTTCACATTTTAACTTTGAGCCCTTGGTCAAAATGTGGACCTACTTTGGGATCGACACTGTGGTGGTCATCCAAAACTCAGGGTGACATGGTCCTGGCCACAGAGCTGCTTTGTCACCAGTATGTCTTGTAGGATAGGTGGGTCTTACTGCTCCATCCACAATCTCCTGTGCAGCTCTGGAGTCCGCTAGCACATTTGTGAGGAGGCAGGGACAGACAACTTCACCAGAGTCATTGTAGGTTCAGGCTGAAAGCCATGGTCCTATTGGCCTTCCACACTAGCTAATGAGATAAGCTCGCAGCAGAAAGTTGAGGTCATCCCCCAAAACAATTGAAGCCCACTCTCTTGCATCCTTAGTAATGTCCTCTTTGGCTGTTGCATTGAATAAAGTTTGAAAAACTACGTGCTTTAAGCAGAAGGAAGAGGAGGTAACTACCTTTCACTCTGTCCCTCCCTGCCTCTGCAGGGTGGCTCCTGTGTCCCATTTAAAGCTCATGTTTCTACATTATGTAGTTTCTAAGTTCTTCCATGTTCCTGTGAAGAAAACAGACTCAGAGAGATTGGTCATTCTCATGTCATATTGACAGATGAGTCATCCCAGCTACGAAAGTCAGTCCCTTGAAAATCTGTTAGAATAAGTTCCAAAGTTCAGCTTTATCTTCCTACTAACTGCAGTGGTTCTCCAAGTGCTTGTTTGGGGACCAGATCACCTCAAAAGTGTATAGACTTTCATTTTATTTTAATTTTAGTAAAGAAAATTCGTGCTAGTGAAAGTTTACGATTTCCACATAGATTTGAATTTGAAAAGCGCAGAAATGATTCCTTAAATTCACTCCAGTAACTTTTCATCGAGAACCCAGCATACTGTAGGCTCTTTTGTAGATGTTGGGCATGTGGAGTTGAATAAGCAGGGTCTGTGTTCTTGGGGAACACTAAACTTTTCTGTTATTTTTCCAATAGGTCATCTGTAGCCAGGGGGCTCTGCAGTAGAAATTAAATAGGGTAGTGCAAAGGCCGCCCAGTGAAAGGAATGATTAATTCTGAGAATGAGAGAATTAAAGAAAGCTTCATGGAGGAGGTGCCCTTAAAACTGAGCATAGAGGAAGACACGGAATTTCCATAAGATGGCGGGTGTTAGGGGAACCTTGAAGAACACGGTTGGAAGCATGCAAGGGGAAACAAGACTGGGTGAGCCCGGCAGGAAAGCCCTGGGTCGTCCCGATGAGGAGCAGGGATTCATCTGGGGGCCTTGGGGAGTATGGAGGGGTCCTTCACATTTATGCTTTGGAATGATCTTGCCAGCTGTGTTTTGGAGCATAGCTAATAAGAGGGAGGCTGAGCTGGAGGCAGTAAGACTAACCCCCGGGCTGCTGTAAGGGTGGGTGAGAGGTTCAGAACTGGACCAGGGGCCCACCCACCCCTGGGGCCCTGCTCAGCTGTCATCCTTGGCTGGTTCCCGCTCCAGTCCACTCTGCCTGCTCTGTGCTCTAATTGTTTTTAAAGAGTAAATTAGGTTTACAAATCCTATCCTTATTCTGAAAAGTATACCGAAACTTTTCAGAAAGATTTTCAATAGCAGCATTAAAAAATTACCTAATTAAAGATTCGGTTCTCTTAAAGTAATAGTAATTAGCTGGGAGTCTACATCAAAATTAACTATAAAGTTTTTGTTACATTTTAAATATATGAAAGTTAAATAGTACAGAGAATGACATGTTAAACGCTTATGTTTTTACTATCCAGAAATGATTATTTTCATCCTGACATATTTTCATTAAGTTTTTTAAAATGAAAGAAATCAAATGGTAAAATGTGATTCTGTACTTTTTCTAAATTCATCTATCCATCTTCCTTCTCCAAAATCAAAATCAATCTCTCCCACCCCCTCACGCCACCCACAGTGTCTTTCCTTGCCATTTATTTCCTTGAGAAAATCATATCCAGTGAAGACTCTTCTCCTTTTGCCCCTAGATTTTTTTTTTTTTTTTGAGACAGAGTGTCACTGTGTTCCCTGGGCTAGAGTGCCGTGGCGTCATCCTAGCTCACAGCAACCTCAAACTCCTGGGCTCAAGCAATCCTTCTGCCTCACCCTCCCGAGTAGCTGGGACTACAGGCATGCGCCACCATGCCCGGATAATTTTTTTTTTCTATGTATTTTTAGTTGTCCAATTAATTTCTTTCTATTTTTTTTTTAGTAGAGACGGGGTCTCACTCTTGCTCAGGCTGGTTTCAAACTCCTGAGCTCAAACAATCCGCCCACCTCGGCCTCCCAGAGAGCTAGGATTACAGGCGTGAGCCACCGCGCCCGGCCTTGCCCCTAGATTTTTACCCATGGCCTACCATGAATTTGTGCTATAGCCACTGGCACCAATGGGAGACTTTTTCTCTGTAATCTGTAGCAGCCTAAACCAAGGTAGACTTGGCCAACAGTGTGGGATGACCTTAGATACAGACCATGACAGTGAGGGAGAGTTGCAAAGGCAAGAAAATATAGGGGTTGGTTGAAGTAGAGAGGGAGTAACGTGAGGGGACAATGACCCAGGAGCAGAGAAACTGGGAGAGCAGAGGGGTTGGCAGATTGTGG